ATCATGTGCAGAGAACTAATTGAAGTTGTGATAACATTCAACACTAACGTCACATTAAATTGAAAATATACAGTTTAGACAAGCAATTTTTTCCACACTTTTGGGCTTTTGACAGCATGGCTATCATATTACCATCTTGTGTTGCCTCACTATCCTTTAAAACAAGAAATGCAGACACTTTACTGGAGAGGTTTATCTTTAAATTTAGCCTACCTGAGAAAAGTAGGCCAATAAATTGATTGCAGTGGTGTTATTAGTCATACAAAATATTCAGTATCATCATGGCCATCTATTTTTCATTCTCATTTTTTTTTTTTCTTAAAGTTTAGTCCCCTTGTTTTCGTAGAGCAATATAGGTTTAATCTGATTGCTTTCTGTACATTTTTGTTACAGAGGATGATGTTCGATCTTATACGATATAACAAACCATCTCAAATGCATTATCAAGAAGGAGATTCATCGCTGGATCTGAGCAATATAGATAAAAGATTTGATATACCAACAGAAGCTTGTGAAGGAAACTCCTCTCTTCTGATTCAGGTGGAGAAGCGCAGGTCCAGTGTAAAAAGTAGTTCATTGTGACAGATTAAATTGTATATAAAAGTCCTGAGAAAGAAGAAAAAGGATTACTTATTGTGGGGTAGGGTTTTTGCAAACTGTTCAACCAACCCCCTCTTCCCCTCATGTTTTGCACCATAAACAAGTTAAATTGTTGTGAGGAAAAAAGATGTAAATTCTTTTTAATAGGAAAATATTTTCTTTTGCCTTCAAAACATCAATATCTTGTCTGTTTCACTTTCTTCATAGCAGATCTTATCATTGTTATAATGCACTTCATTTATCCTTAATTTTTTAATGAATGATTGAAGCTAGCTAGGGGCCCTGCTTGGATTTGCGATTTATTGCGAATATTTAAATGCAAATGCCTTCATCATTATTCAAAGGCTTCCACTAGAGACTAAATACCAACTATGCTAAAGCAGGAAAGCAATAATGGAGGTTGCTTTGGCCCTTCAATGTCAATTTATATTAGAGGGGTCAAAAGGGGTCAAATCATATTATTCTAACAAAGAATGATTTATCACTCAGTGGATTGCATTAGAAAGATCTTTTTTGATGGAATTTTTTGTGTATAATTATACAACCATAATATTCTAACGAAAGTTGTTTTTTTTTGGATAAACTCGATAATTATCTTTCTTGTAATTCGAATACAAGACTCTTGGGTATAATTAACTACAATGACTAAAGAGTTTGTCATATTCAAGAATGCATATAAAAGTATTCATATACAACCATAATATTCTAACAACGGTTGTTATAGTATGCAATAGTCAAGAATGCATATAAAATCCTTTAATATGGAATTTATATAGTTTTAATATGTAAATTATGTTAATTATAGACTATTAAATGATTAAAAGACAAAATATACAATTTATTACGCAAGAAGTTCAGTTGAAACTTGAAAAGTTTTCTTTTGTTAGTTAACAATCTAATTGATTAAAAGGGGATGAAATATGGATGAATGAGATCCTTAAACATACTGCTATATATATATTGAAATAAAAGTATTATTACCAAAAAAATTTACCATATTTTTTTTTTTTTTAGGTAACTGAAGCATCCTAGCCTACACTGGATCCTGCTTAATCCTTAAGACCAAGGAACATCTACAAGCCCAATTGACTAAAATAACTGCACAAATGTGATAAGTACCTCTCCTACGACTAGAACACACTAGTGACTAAAGTGTTTACCATCCAGCTAAAAGGGGAGAGGTGATTTACCAGATTTTATCAACATTAAATGAAAGATGTTTATAACTTATATTTGAGACTATAACATCACAACTACATGTGAAGATTACTTGAGATAGATCATTGTTCCAGAAACTTGTACTAATTAACATAAACATATAAAATTGTTGCCAAGCTGCTGAGAAAGGCTAATAATTTTAAATGAATTAGTGGCCAACCTAATTAATATATTTTGATGAAAGAACAAGTAAGATTAGTTAACAAGAACTACCTCTGAGTGGTCGAGTGGTTCGACCAGGACTTTTTGATGTATTACTAGAGATTCTGAGTTTGACTCTCTTCTCGATTGCTAATAAGGATAGCTATTAGAGTTTTTACCCAACCGGTAGTTTCAAGGTCCCGAAAGATTAGTTAAGGTGCATATAAACTAATCCAAACACTCCCGACCATTTAAAAAAAAAAAAGATTAGTTAACAAGTCGTGAACCACGTTAAAGTCAAGATTAGCATGCTATAGATCAATGCATTAACTTTAGATAATTTTTACAACTTAATCATGCAAATTGCCACCTTAAATAATGTTGAATTAGAAAGTTAATATGACCCTTTTGATTAAAATATTTAAAGTAAAGAGACTATAATAGATTTCCTACTCATCAGGATCCCACTGAAAACAACTTTCTCTTAACATTTTACTACCATATATTCACGGAGCCAATTGACAAAATCTTAATCACATTTGTCAAAACACAGAAAGAGAGAGATGGAGGCAACACAAATTCAAGTGAAAAAGGAAATGGAAGAAGAAGCTCAAACAGAAGTAGAAATCTGGAATTACATATTCGGGTTTGTGAAAATGGCAGTAGTTAAATGTGACATAGAGCTCGGAATAGCTGACGCCATTGAAAACCATGGTGGCCCCATGACACTTTCAGAGTTATCATCAACTCTCAATTGCACACCCTTAAATCTTCACCGAGTAAGATGAAATAAAATATCTATCTAAAGTTGTTTGAGACAATTATTTATATTTTAAAGTTGTTATCATATCTTTTATCTTGCAGGTACGTAATAAGTCGCCAACATAGACACCTTTTTTTAAACCAAAATATTTCTAACTGCATATTTAGAGCTTCTTGGCACGAAACTTTTAGTATTTCCGTACTATATTCATCCTTAAGATTATCACTTTCATCTTCTTATCTAATTCCAGTAATGATTTCTTCTTCAGTTAAAACATACACGACTTATTGCTCATTTGGATGATTAAGGAATATATTAATATCCATTTGATTAGTGTAATGAAGTTGTCAATTCTGATCACTCAATTTGTAATGACTCTTTGATATTCATTTTCATACTATCCTAATGCTACTAAAACAATGAATTGAAATCCTAATACTACTACAACATGAATTATAAACTAAGAAATCAAAACAATAATTCTTGTAACTATACTTCTATTAAGTTATAACCTCTGCATAGTAATAAATTTAATTGGTTTCAATATTATGACTATAGAGAGGTTCTACTGTATAATAAATGTTACATGTTGAGTGCCCATGCAAGACTTTATTGCTAAGGGACATTTTTATTCTACAGATATGTAAATAGATAAAACTTCATACGTAGATATATTTTTTTTTCTTCAAGTAATCCATTCAAAGTTTAATCATACTATATAAATATAGTAGCATCAAAAACAGGTTTGGACACATATATTGAATAACATAAACATTATACATATGGAGAATAGTTGATGATTGATCATGTGTGATTTGACCGAACGATATTAATATAATAGTTAAACACCAAAGAGATAAGACCAAGTCTGTCATCCACTGTTTTCCTAATAAATAATACAAATTAGTGTTATGAATATCATTATTGTCTTGATCAATAATTCATCCATGTTTTTGATGAAAATTTGTAAATATGAGTGAGTTTGAATTTGGGAGATAAGTTTTTAGCCATATAGTATCGTATTTTCTTGATCATGGCCATGAATAAACACAAGTTTTAGTCTAGGGGAAGCAAGAGAAAGATTGATTCCTGAGATTGATAGGCATCGAGTTAGATCTTATATAACGAATGATAAAGGAGTTTTAGCATGGTAATAGGATTAATTTGGCTGATGGTCAGGTTAATCAATATTTGTTGTGCTTGGCTATTGTAGATAATAAAATCTATAGTTGATTCGAGCAAGGTTGATCTTGTGAGGACATACTGACAATCGTATAGACTTGTAAAGACAATGAAAGCAAACGTGAAGGCTCAGGGGATACTGGTGTGGTCTAGCGTAGGCACTTCGACGCTCAAGACTCAAGTCAACACGGTTGAAAGAAATATATAAGTGAGGCTAAGAACGGCAAAGAGTTTACCGTGAGTGTTTAGTTAGGGCAAGACTATAGTAAAGTGGCCGGATCACGGCTTTACGGAAAGTAAAGTTAGTCGAAACTAAACTTTACGGTAGGGAAAGGCGGCGGTTCTTGAGAGCAAAAACTTTTTAGAGCTAAAGTTATGGGTTGTATGTGAATCAATAATGAGAGGATTGACCTCGGTTTATATAGTGAGTCAATAAAGTTTGATCCTTGTAGAACTAGGCGTTCTCACAGTCAAAGTTTGAGTAAACAGAAAACTCGTGATGTTTATCCATGTAGAAGTATTAGGTCATGTAAGATTAGGAATCTTGGATGAACTAGGAAGTAAGTAGGACTCTGAGTCCTATTTTGGAACGAATATAGGTTAATGGGCTAAAACCCAATTTAGTTTAACTTGTAAAAAGACCCAACTCGTGGAGTGGCTCAAAGCATAAGTTTGCTTAGTTCGTAGGGTGGCTCTGATTATAGAGTGATCAAACTCGTAAAGTAGTCCAACTCGTGAAGAGGGCTGACTCATGGTGTGGTCCAGCTCGTAGAGTGAGCCGGCCCATAAAATAGGTCTTCTTATAAGACGGGTCATCTCATTAGATGATATTTTCCACAAGATGGCTTTAAGTATGGGCCCAATCGGAATTGGGCTAAGACACTAGGAAACATAAAGTTTATTTCATTATTGGGCTTGAGAAAGTTCAATACGATTTTTTGCCCATACAATTATATTGATATTATTCTGTTAAATGAACTGAAATTTCTTTTAGAAAGCAATCTCACAACCATAATGCATTACAAAAGTAATTAACAACATCATCTCATTAAACACACCATAAGTTAACAACTCCTTAAATACATGATTAGCGTTTAATTAATGCTTTCTATAGCGTAGATAATGGCTCTACAATTTAAAATTTTCAAGCAAGAAGTTGCTATTTTTCAACAACGTAAGTTTATAATGAAGAAAATCTCTCCAATCATCAAAGGGTATCGGACCATTTTGGTTAACAAATAATTTTAGTGCCGAAACTAAAATCTGAATCCCATGCAACTAATTGCTATATATAGATGGTAAACAATCATTCTTGTTCAGGAACACGCAGAAAGAGAGATAAAGAGAGATGGAGGTAATCACAGAAAGAAAGGCAACGACAAAGGAAAAGCAAGAGCAAGAGCAAGAAGAAGAAGCTCAAGCAGACGTTGAAATTTGGAATTATGTATTCGGATTTGTGAAAGTGGCAGTTGTAAAGTGTGCCATTGAGCTCGGCATAGCTGACGCCATAGAGAACCATGGAGGCCCCATGACACTTTCAGAATTATCATCAGCTCTCAATTGCGCGCCCTCCTCTCTTCACCGAGTAATGAGATTTTTAGTTCACTACCAGATCTTCAAAGAGAAACCCACCAGCCACGGATCCATAGCCTTCGAACAAACCCCAATCTCACGCCGCTTCATAAAACATGGACAAAACAGCATGGCCGCTTTTGTTCTACTGGAGAACGGCCCGGAGATGGTGGCATCATGGATAAACTTGAGCGCCGGCGTCCAGGTCAACGGAACGCCGGCTTTTAAGGCGGCTCATGGGAAGGATATATGGAGCTATGCAGTTGGGGATGGATCTTTTAGTAAGGTAATCAATGATGCAATGGCTTGTGGAGCTAGAGTGGTGACAGTGCCGGCGATTATTAAAGGTTGTCCTGAGGTGTTTGATGGAGTTGGGAGCTTGGTGGATGTTGGTGGCGGGAACGGAACGGCTTTAGGGTTGTTGGTGAAAGCTTTTCCATGGATTAGAGGGATCAATTTTGATCTTTCTCATGTTGTGTGTGATGCTGAGGAGTCCCATGGAGTTGAGAATGTGGGAGGTGACATGTTTCAGAGTATTCCAATGGCTGATGCTATTTTCATTATGGTTGGTATTTATTTATCATTAAAGTTAATTACGTGATTAAAAAGTTATTTATCTTTAAAAACAAGATAAATACAAAACAAATTATAAAAATTTTCAGGTGCAAACATGCTGGGATTTTGTTCTTAAATTTTAGGTTAAGATTTCTGAGGTGAAGAATCTATTAAAAAGACATAATTTCTTCTCTTTAAGAATCTAAAACAACTTCTTTTAAAAAATGAGCAATGGATAGAATATTTGATTGAATTTATATGTTAAAAGTCTTTTTCCTTTTCTTCTTTCTATACATACTTCAAAGTAATATTAATCTTCTATTCTTCTTACTTCTATTAAGTAAAATTTATGTAAGAATTAATTTTATGTTGTCCTAAAATTTAAGGATTGGCTTTGAGATAATAACCCTTCCATAAGTAGTCCAAATAGTTAAGATGAATTGGGGATAGTGTAGATAGGTATACGGTCTCAGGTTGAATTTTTCATTTGAGCATTCATAATATAAATGGGGGATCGTGGCGGTGGGTTGCTACGTTAGCCTCCTTTGAAGATTAGTCGAGGTGCGAGTAAACTAACCTAGACATCTTAAAAAAAAAGCTTTGAGATAATATAAAAACATAACAATTTTTTAACATAAATTTAACTATAATTAGACTTTTCACTTTTAAATATGATAGCTTTCTTACTTTCTAGTATGATAATATAAAAGATAAAGAAAATCAATAACGTTACATATTTGAATTTTGTATATTAATTCATATGATAGTTGATTTGATAGTATCTTGTCTTTTATTCTAAGACGACGGGGGAATTGAATTAATATGTTAAATCAATTACCATATGAGTTGGTATGTACAGCATTACTTGAAAAAAAAATATGCTTTCTAGTGTCTCTACAATATTCGGCACTATAAATTAGTATTAAAATTGTGTAAACCTTATCTAATTATTTGTTAATAATTAAATTTGGTTTCATTTTTTAATACTGCAGCAGGTTTTGCACGATTGGGGGGATGATGAGTGCATCGAAATCCTGAAAAAATGCAGAGAAGCAATTCCAAAGGACAATGGGAAAGTGATAATCGTTGAAACAATAATGGAAGAAGAAGAAAATTTAGGAGATGAATTAAAGTCAGTGAGGTTGAAGATAGACATGGCAATGATGGCTCACACTGACAAAGGGAAAGAGAGGACTTTGAAGGAATGGGATTATGTTCTTGGGCAGGCAGGATTTAGCAGACATAATGTTAAACACATTCGTGCAGTGCATTCTGTTATTGAGGCTTATCCTTAATTGCTCTATTACAATCAAGATTATTAAATAATTAATGTTGTATGTTTAAAATAATGGTGGCTACGGCTGTGGCTATTACCATTGGGCAATTGGTGTTTCTCATGTTCTACTTCTAGCTCGCAGGGTTTAGTTATTGAATAAGTAAGAGCATTCTCGTGTGATAATGTTTATTAAATGCATTTCCTTGCAACAATAACTAATATTAAGGTGTTAATTAATTATTCTGTCATAAGAATCATTTTTTGGTTTTTAATAATAGAGTGAAATTAATCGCCCCTAAGTAACCAAATAGTTGGACATGGACTCTTGGATAGATTACTCAAACTGAGTTCGAGTCATATCGGTCCCTAATAGGAAAGACCAAGGGAGGTTATACCCGGTCTTTAACTTTAAGGCCCCCGAAAATTAGTTGAGGCTATGAGTACAAATGGATATAAGTAAACAAACAATACTTAGAATCCCAGTGGCAGCTACTCCATCCTACTTTTTGTTGTTATAAATTTTGATAATGACATAGGACAGGCTTACCACATCATCTAGTTAACACAAAGGGGTGAAAATTGAGTCGAGCTGCTCACGAGCTACTTGAACTCGACTCGATGTTGGCTCGAACTTGGCTCAATATTAGTGGAGTCGAGTTCGAGTTTGAGTAGTTAATCGAGTCGAGTTCGATCATAGTAGAAATTGAGTCGATATGTTTGCAAGTATTTTCAAACTCGATGGATAAGTTGATAGTTTTTAAAGTAATACGAATCATATTAATTTAAAAGTTATAAAATTTGCAAATCCACCCCTGTTAGATGAGCTCGAAATTGAGTTGGAACTAAAACTCGATTAAAACTCAACTATATGAACTCAAATTCAAACTCGGATTCCAATTTCAAGTACCAAGTTCGAGTTCGAACTTGATTTCTCAGGCTCAAACTCGAACTTGGTATTGTAGTGATCGAGTCGAGTTAGATTTACCAGATACTCGACTCGACTCGACTCGATTTCACTCCTAAGTGAGACTGTTAAATGACATAGTGACATGTATTGTCGCATATGTGCCAAAATTTTTCTTTTGTCCACGTATCATCATGGTTGATCAATAATTATCTTTTTACCTTTCATAGTAACCACCACCATAATGAATGGTTATGAAAATTAACAATATATGTCATTTTGCTGTTAGAAGTTTCACCATGTCAACCCAATGACATTATAAGACTGTCCCATGTAAATTTTTTTGGTGATTGTGATGATATCGGCGTTTGTGTTTGAAAATTTTCACTTCTTTTCTTTCATGGGATGAAAGCAAGTTTTATATATTGTTAAAGTATTTACACACCTATCCGTGGATAACCTAAATGGTTAGAACGAATTGAGGATAGTGTAGATAGGCGTATGATCTCAATTTCGATTCTCTATCTGAGCATCCTCGATTTAAGTAGAAGATAATAACGATAGGTTACTACATTAGTCTCTCCTGAGGATTAATGTCCTGAACACCTTGTTAAAAAACAAAAAAGTATTTACACAATTTACCCATTTTGTTCATGTGTTATTCTTTTCAATAATGAACCCGATCACAATGAAATTTGTTTAAATATCTGTAAAGAATTAAGACTTTGGCAACATGGCTATTAGACAATTACGATATTTTTGTCAATAATGGAGGCTGAACCAATCACAATTAAATTTTTAAAAATATGTTTAAAGTAACAATAGTCTCTCCCGAGGATTAGGGGCCGGACACCGTCGTTTAAAAAAAAAAAAAGTACTTACACAATTTACCCATTTTTTTCGTGTGTTCTTTTTAATAATGGAAGCTGAACCAATCACAAATAAATTTGTTTAAATATCTTTAAAGTAATCAGAAAATATTAGCTTTACCATGTCATCAAATCTCAGTGATAGCCACTCAGTCCTCCATTTTATTGCTATATATACATGGTTACATCGAGAGCTTCAATCACCATAATAAAACTGCCTACACTTCCACACAAAGGGAGAGAGAGAGAGAGAGAGATGGAGTTAACACAAAGAGGGGCCATAATGGAAGAGGAAGAAGAACTAGAAATCTGGAATTATACATTCGGGTTTGTGAAAATTGCAGTAGTGAAATGTGCCATAGAGCTCGGCATAGCTGAAGCCATTGAAAACCACGGAGGCCCCATGACACTTTCTGAGTTATCATCATCTCTCAATTGTGCACCTTCCTCCCTTCACCGTATAATGCGGTTTCTAGTTCACTATCGTCTCTTCAAAGAGACGCCCACCAGCCACGGCTCCATAGCCTTTGAACAAACACCTATGTCTCGCCGTTTGTTGACACAAGGACATAACAGCCTGGTAGCTTTATTTCTTCTGGAGAGCAGCCCAGTGATGCTGGCACCGTGGCATCGCCTAGGCGCTCGCGTGCTCGCAAAAGAAGAATCAGCCTTCGAGACGGCTCATGGGAAGGATTTGTGGAGCTATACGGCGGTGGATGAAGGTCACAGCAAGCTCTTGAATGATGCAATGGCTAGTATGGCTAGAGGAACAGTGCCTGCGGTTATTGAAGGTTGTCCTGAGGTGTTTGATGGGATTGGGAGCTTGGTTGATGTTGGTGGCGGGAATGGGACAGCTTTAGGGTTGTTGATGAAAGGTTTTCCATGGATTAGAGGGATCAACTTTGATCTTCCTCATGTTGTGTGTGCTGCAGATCAAGAGTGGCATGGAGTTGAGCATGTTGGAGGTGACATGTTTCAAAGTGTTCCCATGGCTGACGCTGTTTTCATCATGGTAATTGGTATTGATTTTCGAATAAATTAATTTAGATCTTATCAGTTTGATTAATCTGTAAATTATTTTTTAATACTGCAGCAAGTTTTGCATGACTGGGGAGATAATGAGTGCATCCAAATCCTTAAGAAATGCAGAGAATCGATTCCAAAGGAGAAAGGGAAGGTGATAATAGTTGAAACGATTATTGAAGAAGAAGAAGAAGAAAGGGACAAGTTCAAGTTTGTGAGATTGATGCTAGACATGGTGATGATGGCTCACACTAACAAAGGCAAAGAGAGAACCTTGAAGGAATGGGATTATGTTCTTGGGCAAGCAGGATTTAGCAGATATAATGTTAAGCCTATTCATGCAGTTCAATCTGTTATTGAAGCTTTTCCTTAATTAATCACCCTATTAATTAGGGTCAATTAAGACTATCAGTTAATTATCTTTTGTTGTAGTAGTGTAATGGTGGCAATTGCCCTGCTGCCAATTGGGTTTTGTTATGTTCTTGGTTGCAAGGTTTATATAATAATTGTATCTTTTAATTTGAAGGTTTCGGCTGGCTGACAAATATTGATGTATTATTTCTTTTTTTATCATGAGGAGTGTTCGGTCTAGGCCCAGAAACTGTCGGCCAATAATCACCCCTATTAGTGTCTAAGAGGATTCAAACTCCAGAACTCATGAAATTTCTTTTTTCTCTTTTACCATCAAATCACCCAATAATGGTTATTGTTGTTGTTGTATTACCTTTTTTTTTTTTTTTTTTTTTTTTAATTCGAGTAGGCATTTTTGGTTTGTGACTTTGGAAATTTTAATTTGTGATTTTAAAGGCAAGGTCGAAAGGGAGGAAAGCTCTCAGTTCCTGGTTCTTATGTAGTTAGTTTGTAATTGAAAACAATTTTAATTTTTTTAATTTGTTAAAGGATATTTTTATTTTGAAAATTTCTTATATAAATTTTTTTTCAATATGTAAAAGTCTAGTTTAACCTGCGCAAAAGTTAATAATGTTCAATACTAACGGGGTATAAGTGTCTTCCTGGATCTCTCTAGGTTTTCCATAAGAGAATAGAATATAAGGCCTTTACATGCCTTCCTTTTTATTTTTCTTTTCTTTTTCTTTTTTTAGTTTTTTATTTTAATTTTGGCATTAATAATTTTATCAAAATAAAACTCGTCCTCTACATTAAATATTGTTTCATTTTTCTAATATATAGGAAATACAGAGACGGACTCTCTAATTATATTATGAATCCTAAGAATTTGACCAACAGTTATTCATATTTTATAAGTCTTATATGCAACCATTTCGCAAATGTTAAAGTGGTCCCATTCAACTCATTAAATTAGAGAAAAAATATTGTTAGAACTTAGAACTTAGAATCATACTCTTTAACCAACACAAAAATTATAGTCCTCAAACCATCGGTCCTACACCCATTATTTGAGGTGACTCAGTCGGTCAGTCTGCCGGCTGGATACTGACCCACCTACTACGTTTGTTTGTCTACTCCTATTCTAAAAAAAAAAAAAAAAAAATGCGTGCGTTTGCTTTATTAATTTAGATAAAATTTTAGAGGTAGTGTTGGATAGTTGAATACGATGATTATTACGAGGTAAAATTTAAAAATTTATAAAGAAAACTCCCTAGGTTTGCTAATTTAACTAAATACCCTAATATATAAAAATTTTATAAATTGATAAAAACACCATCACCCACCCAAGGTGCCAAATTCCGACACCACCGTTGAAATTTGGTCGGAATCTAGCGTTACGACGTAGACTGGTCGGATTTGGCCGGATGTGCATCAGTCTAGCCGAAAAGGCCGGATCGACGAATTATCAGCAAGTTTCGGTCGTTTGTAGGCCGTTGTGACAGATTTCAGCTACCACCGACGGTGGTTGTCGGAATCTGGCAACTATAGGTGGGTGGGGGTGTTTTTGTTAATTTTTAAACTTTTTTCTGGGGGTATTTAATGAAACTAATAAACTTAAGGGGTCTAAAAATAATTAAAAAATATAATAGTATTTCCTAAATAATTAAATAAACAAATATTTTGAGAATAGGGATAGAAATATTAAACCAAACGCACCCATGTTTTTCCATATTTTCAAAATCATATCCTATAATATTCAACTATTTTAAACCCCTATAGATTTATTAATTTAACTAAATACCTCCAATAAAAAAGTTTTATAAATTAACAAAAACACTTATACCCACCCACATTTGTCAGATTCCGACAACCACCACTAGAAAGTGCCCAAAATCTAGCGTAATGGCGCACTACCGACTGGATCTGGCCGAAAAGTGCTAGATCCATGGCCAAAGATCTGGCCGTTGATAGCCAGATCTTTGGCCACATCTAGCCGTCAATGACGGCTAATGTATTGTAACGCCCAGCGTGGAGGTACATGATTTAATTTATGTTTTTATAGCCTTTAGTTAATTTTTGTTAAAGTGATTTTAAGAGAATATGAAGAAAATACCTTAAACTTGCATCAAGGATAAAATTGTCTTCTCACTCAAAATTAGTTGAAAAAGTGGGGAGTGAAAAGAGATAGAATTTCAGAGAGAACGCATTAAAAATGAGGGCATTATGGTAATTGACTAAGGGAGATAGATGGAATTTCTAAGAAAGAGTAAGGGCAAAATGGGAAAGTGTGTTTATAAACTAAAGTGTTAAGGGTTTGAAAACCTTATTTTCTTCATTCCACCGCCACAGTCCTCCCCCATTTTCTCTCAAATTTTCATTCAATCCTCCAAGGATTTTGAGGGCTTTTGAGTGCTTTTTCATAGGGTTTTGATTTTAGGCTTCAAAAGGTAAGAATTCATGCTCTTTATCTATGATTTATTTGTGTAAAAGTTCAGTTCTTATGAAGTTTATTCTTAGGGTTAAGAGAAGATTTGAATTCTACAAGAGTAGAGAGCTTATAAGAGACTACTCAAGCATAAGGTAAGTAAATTCTACTCAAAATCCAACTCAAGTTAAAGTTTAAGAAAATCAAGTGAGTAGAGATTTCATTTAAATATGCATATGTTATGATTATTGAGAAATTGAGATGAGATGGATGATTAGTTATGCTTGTTGTTGGATATACTTGAATATGAGGAGTGTATGTGATGGCTTAATGATGGGTTGAAATTGGAAGAAATCAGAGAAACTTTGGGAGTGTTTTTGCCGTGTAGGTATGGTGATGTTACAAGAGAGTTTTTCTTTCTTAAGAAACAAATGAATGATAATTAAATTAGGGTTTGTTTATACACAAGTATGTTTGATGAAATGCCTAGAGAAGATGAGTTGAGGAGAAACCTTAATTTTTGCAACATTGCATATGTGCATTTCATGAGTGCATTAGTAGAAAGAATTTAAGCATGAGCCATCCATAGATATAATTGTGTATGTGTAGAAACTTAAGAAAGAATAAAGAATAAAGAATAAAAAACATTCTAAGAATAAAGAGAAAGAAAGAATAAGCATTAAAGAATTAAGAAAGAAAAAGTGTTAAAGAAGAGAAAAGAATAGGTTGGTGTGATGGGGAACCGTGAGTGTTAAGAAGAAATTCTCACATACACGTCACCTTAATTGAGTGGCATAAGAAGAAGAAGAATTGTACACAGTAAGAGTGTATGTGGATGAGGGTTGTACCAAGAAGAATTCCTAATGCACGTCACCTTAATTGAGTGGCCTAAAGAAGAAAGAAGAATTGTACGATCCGCAAGAGTGCATGTAGATGAGGACTGTACTCACTCACACGGCCAATGTTCCGAATCCATACATCAACCGAGTCGATCGACAAAGAATAAGAAAAGAAAGATAAGAAAGAAAAGAATAAGAAAAGAAGAATGAGAAAGCTTGAACAAGCAAAGAAAAGAAAAGAAAACAGAAAAGAAGAAAAGGAAGCTAGGCAAGCAAGACAAGAAGAGAAAAGAAAGCATAGAAAAAAAAGAAAAGAAAGAAATAGAAAAAAGAAATAAAATGCATTTTTATGCATTATTGCATATGCATTTCATTTATGCATATTCCATGAATTTTATTATGGTTAGAAAGAATAGAAGAGTAGCAAGAAGAGAAAGAATGAAAGAGTAAGAAAGAAAGAAAGAAACAGAGAGATTAGAAAGAAAGACAAGAACAGTGAGAATTAGAAACAGAGAAGAAAGAAAGAAGAAGAGAATTAAGTAAGGAAATAATCAAAGAAGAAGAAAAGTTAGGATTTACTTAATGAATATTTTTAAGCTCACCCCGTTGTCAAGAAGAAGAGATTAAGTAAGGAATAATCAAAGAAGAAGAAAGTTAAGGGTTTACTTAATGAATATTTTAAGCTCACCCGTTGTCTTTCATGTTTTGCAGGAAATAGGTGAGCAGCGGTCGGAAGGACGTCGACAGCGGAGAGATTGACATTGTTGTCACCGTTGCTAAGTTTTTGTACTTGTATTTTGATATATGTAAAGAATTAATTTGCATGTAAAGAAAAATTTGGGCCCAATTTTTTCATATGCTAATTATGTAGTTTTCCTAGTATATGTATAAAAAATACTATTAGAAAGAAGTCATTACATGTATGGCTGTCGTTGACCGTCAATGTTGACCATATCTTTGGCTGTCATTGACGGCCAGATCGGCCAAACAGCCAGATTGACTGTAGATCTGGTATTTTCTGGCCAAATCCGTGGTGGTTTTGGTCGAAAAAAGGTCATAGTGATGCACAACCAGCCAGATCTAGTGGTCATGTGCAATGAACAAACAGTTTCAGCGGTAGTGGTAGGGAATCTAGCAACTATGGGTGAGTGGGGTGTTTTTGTTGATTATAAACTTTTTATATTAGGGGTGTTTAGCTAAATTAACAAACTAAGGGTTTGTTGATTAATTTTTGATTTTACCTCGTAATAAAACCCAACTAACTTAACAATAACATTTCAAAAATACTACTCAAAATAATAAAACAAACACTTATGTAAAAAAAAAAAAAAGGAACTTTTTACATGATGTTTATGTGGAGTCAAAAATTGTTATCTTAACAAAGAAAGTGTTCGGCTAAGGTGGCTCCTTAATAAATTGCCATTTATATGTTATAATATATATATTTTTAAAGAAAATATATGATGATTTTTTAATTGATCACCCCAATACTGAATTCACTTTACTGCTTTTTTTGTTTTTTAACCATTAGAGTTTACAAGGAAACTGAACTCCAACCTCATCCCGCCCCCAAAGACAGTCACAAGGGAGACTCGAACCTAGAATTTTGCCTAAGGCTAAATTTAGTGAGGCTTTACCCCTTACCATATACTAAAGAATTTTCGCTTTAAACCATATTTTAATATTTTAAAATGTAGATTTTTTTGGTAATTAAATAACAAAAATCATCAGAATGAGGGATAATTACATTGGGACCCACATATCTTGGAAAATGACTTCTTGAGTACCGGAGAATCATTGCACAAGTATGAAACCAATACCTGTACGACAAATACCGAGCGGCACGTGTACCTTATCAAACTCAAAGTTTCCAAGTTCAGTCATCTCTTTTGCGCTGCCCATTACGCCCACCAACAAAGCTACAGACACC